TTGCCATAACTGAAATAAAAATAAAATTAGAGAGGAGATGAAACCTCCTCCATGAGACCTAAACTGATCACTAAGGAGGACCCCAGTAGCTCTGCTTCTACTTTTTATCTCTTGAAGGAGCTTTTTGCGAGAACAACAGAAGGACAAAGAGAAAAATGAACCCTGTTGCAGCATTCACTCCCATTAGATACTTCAGACACATGTCCTAGGCCAGGTTAGTACATGCTTAACTTTAAGCATTGGCTTGCTGAACAGTACTCACACTGACTACTGACTGAATTGGATGTCCAACTTAGGAGCCTCCCTATAGTCCTTTGGTAGTCCATGGAGACAAAGAGTTTCTTCTGGAAGGCCTCACTCAGTGCCTCCTAGGACACTGTTTTCTCCTCTTGCTGGACTGGGTCTTACTGTCTTTTCTCCAGCTTTCGTGGGAAATTACAAGGCCAGACTCCTTCCCTCCTGTTGTCTCTAGTTCGGCTGCTTGGTGATGTAGTCAGGCACACACTTGGATGTCTTGCTGGTTTTGATGAAAGATACTCAGCCCTGAGTAAGATCAAGCCTTTGTTGGGCAGGCAGATGGCTATTACCTTACTCACTGGAGGGGGAACCTTTGGAGGACGGTAGCACAGTGCCTTGGTAGAGGCAGGAAAGGGGAGAGACCCCCATCCCTGCAGTCCCGTGAGTCCTGATGCTCCATGCACATTACTTGTCCATGGGATTGGGATGGTACGGAGACATAATACCTGACTGTAACAGGAGGAACATGCATATGTAAGAACATAGCATGTTCATGCCAAAGGCCCTGGTGAAGGTGAATGTCTCAGTGTGCTGAGCTCCAGTGGTGATATCAAGTGAGAGTGGAACTAGTTACTGTGACTGTCCTTCTGGTTTATTTTTGTCTAGGGGAAGAGAAGTATTGTCTTTTGTGTGCAGTATGTTTATAACTCAATTTCCCTTCTGACTGTTGCCTTGCTCTACACTCTTTTCTCCTCCTCCATCTGGTTTCTATTGTAGTTTTAAATGAGGACAGTTCGGCTGTCTGGCAGAACAAGCGGGTCTGTGTGACACCAGCTGCCTCTTCCAACTTTCAAGTCTCCAGCACAGTTTTAATTATAGAAGTGTGAAGATTAGAAGCCACCCCCTCCCCAATCTCTCTTTAAGCGCCTGCGCACACACACACACATACACGCACATAGAGCAACCCCTGGTGCAAAGTCCCACCCAAATCTTATTTTCCTTTGAGAGACCATGGCCTATGATTTATCTGCACTGTGTAATGCAGATAAAGTTCCGCTCCAAAGCGCACACTAGAGGCTGACCTGCCCAGCATTCAAGGTTGCTCATAGCTTTCATTTTGGTCAAGGTTCATCAACAGTTATGTCTGAAATAATCAAGAACCACCTCGGAGAAGCCTGGAGGTGTGAAGGAGTTGCTCACTGCTGCTTTAGCCTCGCCGCCCGCAACTGCCCTGAAAAGTCACCTTTGTAGATCAGAGCTGCTTAGGCATTTCAGACCTACCGGTTCTGCTCAAAGAAAACATTTATTGTGCTCCAGTTTTATACAAGTGCTGCATTTAGGGGCTTGCTCTGCAGGAAGTTGATGCAGTCCTTTCACCCTCAGGGATCTGAGGTCAAAGTCTGTAATTTTGGGTTGCGAGTGAAATATGTCCTACAGAGGATTTTTTTTTGACATCACAAAACCACCACGCATTTTGGCATAACAAGCTGTTTCTCTTTGTAAGAATCAAAGACCTGGTATGCAGGAAGTCATGCACATGGTGAGTGAAGGGCACTGGAAGAGAAGTCCAGAGCTGGAAGAGCAGGATGCGTTGCAGGGCAGGAGAAAGAGGTATTGCCAGACCTTGGTGCATATTGTCTGTTTGCAGTCTGTGTTGTGGAGGCAAAGTCTCTGTATTTCCACAATGCTATCTCTATACTCATTTTTAAAAATGAGTGATTTAACTCATTTTAACTCATCACATGTTTAACTCATTACATGTTTGCTTCAACAGATTGAGCTGAGCTTTTCCTGTTTGTGTATAAGAGGTTTGCTTACCTGCCCGGGGCCTCTTGACCTAATTTATCCCCCAAGGAAGTATAACATTCAGCAAAAAGGAGGAGTAATTTAATAAGTCTTACTTTCAAGAGGTCGAATTAGTGACAACAAACAACTTCTTATCCTTTACACTGAGATTTTAGAAAGTGCCTAATGAATGGGAGTGTAGACATGGACTCCATTTGTGTGTTAGCTAGACACTATCCTGAGGTTTGTCTATACGAAAGACTGTTTTATTTTTTTAACAGACCTTGTCATATGGCTTAAATGCTCAGATAAATTTTCCATTCAATTAATTCTTCTTCCATGTGGCATGGAGTGATCTACCCATCCTCCCACCCAAAAGCAAGTAAAGTGATCATGAATCTGTCTAGATTTCATTTTTGCTCTCTACATTACATTTATTACTAAGGTACTAACCGAGAGGGAAGTCTTAATATGCCATATGTGTAGCTCCTGCCACAAAGATCTTATGGTGTAAACCAAAAGAAAAGAAGAACAGGCTGGAAGTCATTTCCCTTTCCTTCTTTTTATTTCTAGCATGCTCATCCTCATATGATTAGAGTTCCCTACTAGAGCTACAAATATTCAACCCTTATTTGGAGACAAAGTTTTCTTTCTTGATATGCCTTTCGCAGATACAAAGTAAAGCTTTTCTTGCTAGGATTTTTAGGAAGTTTCATGCTTCTTTTTTTATCTGTCTTCTTCCATACCATTTGTTTCTCTAGGAAGTTGGTGCTATAGGTACTAAAGTTAGAGATGTGAGAAAGTCCTTGAGTGGGGAATCTTAATAGCTCTGTGACTCCTGTGGAAAGAGCTTAGACTTTGTAGACTTCACCTGTTCTCTTGATGATTTCATCGTTTCCCATAAACACTGATGTGGAAGATTAAGGGCCCAGATAGAAGCTGAGTTTTAACTGGTATTAGGTCAACATCTTGAGGGTCTTAAAAATCATCCCAAAGGCTTTGTGCGTGGTTTAATGTGCCTGCACTGTGTATTCCTGTGCTAAAAGAAGTAAATTTTCCCCAGTTGTTCTGAAGGGAAGCCTGTGACTGAGAGAGAATTTGTCTGTTTAGATCATTCAGATATCCAAGTAATCAAGTATATTCCTTCATTTGGGTTGGACCCCTCTGGGAAGAGAAGGGGTGTACAAGAAGGACGTCTTCACCTCCACCTGTAAGGCAGAGAGGTGGAAGCACTTCTGTGACTGACTGAGCTCTGCAGTAGTGTGTCACTGAGGTAGACACTGCGTTGGAAGCTCTCCTCACTGGGGGCTGTGCCCTGGTTTGATTAGTGTGGGCGGGCATAGAAGACATTATAAAAATGAAGAAAAACCCCACTGGAATAGATTGCTAAGCTTTACCTGGCTTTCACAGGATGTTTTCTCCTTCTGGGAGGAGAACACACACGGAGAAATCTATCACTATATTCAGTGTTAAAAAAAAAAGCCCAATATCCTTACAATCATTCAGGACAGTAATAAACCATATCAGGCTGTTGGGTGAAAAGGGATCTAGGATGCCCCCTTGTGCGATCTCCTCCCCTTGGAAATACAGTTGTGCTGGTTCTAGAGCAAGATAGCAGCTACTGGGAGGGAGGACAGAGCAAGGCTGGTAGAGACCAGCAAGGCCAGTCCTCATCATTCTTCCTTCCTGTCCTGTGACAGAAGTTATCCAGCCTCCTACTCCTGACATGGCAAAATTCATTTTAATCCACACTTCTGAGAAACCATGAGCCGGCTCTGACCTCAGTGGCACATAAGAGAAGAACAATAATGTACCAGCTCTTCTGTGTTCAGACTGTGCCTGGAGTGCTGTCTTTGGATCCTGCATGATGAAACATATATTAATATGTCATTACTATCCTAGGCTTTGAGTAGAAGAAGTCAGGCAAGGTCCAGCCGGAGGCATTGTTTTTGTGGTGTTGCAAAGATGCAGTAATTACTATGCCTGGTTTCCCAGGCCAATGTGTGGCTTAATCTGTTTTCTTCCATACCGTGTAGCAGACTCAGTATTATAGCGTGGAGCCTTAACTTCTGCATTTACTGACTTTTGTGCTTATAAATGTGTGAAACATTGCATTAAATACAGAGTAGTTTCGAGCACCTAATAAGGAAGGAGTCTCTTACTGTTATTGTAACAGCTAGAGTTGTTATAATACTGGGGACAGGGAGGCTTGGTCTGATCAAGAGCACGAGGAGTCCCTATACCTATGTAATGGGAGAAAATAAACACTCGCTTTGGATCCAGATCTGGATATAAATGTTGTGCCTCAGGCTCCTCTCAGTTTTAAGGCTGGTTAAGTCCTTGGCTGCTTATGTCGATGGAGTTCTTTTGAAGCCCATGTCAGATTTTGTCAGTGTGAAGATCTAGTCAATGTTTGAACTTCATACCCCCTCTGCGGGAGTTTATGAGCACTAAACCATGGGGTATGTAGGCTTATATGGAAATGTGCATGTTTCTCTGAATTTTATCCAAGCCAGTCAGACCTTTTGGCTCAATTCAGCAAAGCTGGAACTCTATCTTGGGCAGGGGGGAGATTCCCAGGACCTCATGCTTTCAATTACAGGGAAATTGCCTCTCTTTCTGAGGAAGAAAAAAAAAAAAGGAGGAAAAGAAAAGGAAGAGAGAAACCCTACCTTTCTTCTTACAACACCTTTGTTGCTTCAGGCTCAGTAATTGTGTCGTGGCAATGAATGTGTCATGGCAGAACCATAGCACGTCCTTCTGCCTCTCTCTGTGGATCGGCTATAGCTGCTTTGTGGGGGAGAAGAGGGAGTTTGTTTTTTGTTTACTCTGTATTTCCCCCACTACTGTACCCTTGTCTGTGTCCTGCAGACAGCCTCCACTGCTGTTTCATGAAATTATCTATCTATCTCCTCTGTGGTGTGCTGTGGCTCCCAGTACATACTGACTGCGGATCCTGCCTTCCTTTCCTCTCCTAGTGCCCTATGTTCTGAAGAGCTGTGCGGAGTTCATTGAGACGCATGGCATTGTGGACGGCATCTACCGCCTCTCAGGAGTCACATCCAACATACAGAAGCTGAGGTAAGGGCAAGGAACCAGAGGGAGTCAGTGACACTGCTCAGTACTGTTTTGCTGCCGGTCCCTCTGGCATATATAGTACAGGGATAACATAGCTCTGCCCTAATGACAAGGATTCTAAACCTAAAGGTAACTGACCCTAAAGCTAGGGAAATATAGTATTTCATGGATTATTCCATGAAAAAGAGAAAAATCTTCTTCTTAACCCATTAATGAGAAAGGCCTGGAGTATCTCAGCACAAGTCATGAGATGTTCTCTCTTGCTTTAAGAAAACACAATCCCTTTAGATCATTCTGGGTCCATCCATGGAACCAGAGACTGGTTGAGAGCTGAGGCCCTGAGTCCAGGAGACAATCTGGGCAAGGCAACGGGTAACACAGAGACATCTCTGCTTTCCAGTTTGCTTTTCCCTCTAGCTGTGAAAGAGAACTCCAAGTGAAGTATTGGGCTCCCAGAACTTTTATTTGTCTGCATTGTTCTGTCTTCATATTGTTTCAGACAAGAGTTTGTTTCTGACCAATGCCCGGACCTGACAAGAGAAGTTTACCTCCAGGACATTCACTGCGTGGGGTCGCTCTGCAAGCTGTATTTCAGGGAACTGCCCAACCCTCTCCTCACTTATGAGCTCTACAAGAAATTCACGGTGAGACCCCTTGCTGTTCTCATTCCTAACCAGGAGTGTGGATTTGTTGCAGGTTCTCCCATGACAGCTGTCTGAGCTTCACTGCAATGTCCTGGCTTCTGGTGCAGGCGTCACTTCAAACACCTCAGTGCTCTTCCCTCCTCTTCTTGTGCAGGCGCTTTTTCACTGCCCTTGTTTCCTTCCCCATTTTCATGTTTACTTCTCTCTATTTTCTTCTCTTTGTCTTGCTCTCTGATTTTCCAACTTCATTGCTTCTTCGGTGTTATTCTTCTCCTACTGTGCACCTCCTCACAGAATTATTAATTACCTTTCTTTTCCTCATTACTGTCTATCACTGAGAGTTTTTTGGATCACCTGGGGTTTGTGATGATAATCACAGAGTGGTTTCCTTTTCCCTGTTCCTTCTGCAGTTCCTGACACCTGTGCAAACTCATTGCTCAACCCCCATTTAAACTACCAACTTTTCTGCACCTGTAGCATTTTACACTCAGTTTGTCAGAGTGTAAATGATGACACAGTTCCCAGTTATGGCATATCGGGGTCCTTCATAATCATGTCATGAATACAAAAAGCCAAGGAAAGTGGCAGCTGGCCAAGCAGAAATCTCTATCCTGGCTTAAAGGGACTATAATTCAAAGAGTCCATTCCAAAAAACAGCTAGAGAGTATACACAGATACAGTTGGAGACTAGGAGCAGACCGTAGGGAGCGGAAGAATAAGGCCAGGAAGCTTGAATTTTTAAACAAGTTGGCTAATTTGATGACAGGTAGTATTTTAAGGTAGTGCAGCAAACTAGGCTTGTCACTGAAGTTGCCTGGTTCTTACTGTTCTAAAACTATTTGCAGTTGTTTGTGACATGAACAAATTTTAATCCAGCTGAATTTTCAGCTAAAAGCATTCACTAGCTTCTTACAACAACTGGGATGGGGGGAGAGGGGAAGGGTTGTTTTTGCAGCGTTAGAAACATCCGTCCTTTGTTCAGAAGTTCCCTCCTCCTACTCTTTGACTTTTGCTGGGAGGTGGAGCAGACAGATTTCGTCAAAAATGTCAGACTTTGCAGAGAAGCCATTTTGCAAAATCATATGCAACTGGACTGGGAAGTGGCAGGCAACCTTAGCTATGAGCCTCGCTGTCCACGTTGCCTGTGCTCCAAATCAGGCACTTCCAAGCAGCTCCAGCACAGGCAGCAGTGTGAGGGAGCCATGGGGCACGCTCCAAAGAAGGACTTCTAAAAGGATTCCCCATTGCCTGCTGTGGGAAGAGGCAAGCACTCCCGGACAAGGGCAGGGCAGATGCAAAAAGCACCACCCAAGCAGCCACCCACTATAAGAAGGCACGTAGTTGTTAAGAGGCTATAACTGAGCTGGGGTATATAGTGTGGGAATTGGCTAGTCCTGTTTTATGGCTTGATAAATGTTCAATAGTGTTATTAGGTGTCTTGTTATTTCAATGCCAAATATTAAGTAAGATTGGGCTGGTTTTTTTTGTTTCCCTTTTTTTTTTTTGAGATGATGCATAGTCCAAGCTTCAGTCACAGTTCTGCGCAGATTTGAAAACTCTTCCTGTATCCTCAATTTAGGAACTCCAAAACAGCCATGCTTAGGAAGAATAGGACCTTGAAAATACAGAGCATTATTCAAGCATTCATAATAACTGATGAACCTCGTTGGAGATATTTGGCTGGTGTCTTTCTGGCTATCAGTGCTGATTTATGAAAGAAAAATGCAATAAAGGAAACATGAAGATTTAGATGGAAATTTTTTTTAGGAAGGAATGTTTGAGGAAAAGTGCAGTTTTGGGATGATGACTTGCAGGTTTGGGTTAGATACATTTGGTAAATAGTTTTGTTCAAAAATAAAAAGGAAACACTTTTGTAACTGTCCAAATATTTCTTTTACAAATACTTCATAAAGGCAATATTTCACCTTTAAATCAACACTCTAACTCTTAAATAAAAGGGGAAAAAATAAAACAAAATACCACTCCAAAACACCCCATGCCCTTAAAGAAAAGGGTTAAATGGCCACCAACGTAAATGTTTTTTTCTTTCACTTTTGGTTGACAGTGATGTTTTGGTCAATTTGGAACAATTGATTTTTGAAATCCTGTGCTCGCTCTCCAAATAGTGTCAGTTTAGATTGACCTAAAAAGGATTTTTTTTTTTATCTCCAGTTTTTCAGTTTGTCTGTGCAGCCACAAAATCCATTATTTACGTAACTCCATTCGGTAGGGATTTCTAATGAGTTACCCAGCTGACAAGAAACACAGTAAGATCAGGAGGAGGAAAAAACAAAAAGACCAATTCCCCAAAGAACAGAAGGAACACAAGGGGTATGTGTATATATGTGGGGTGCACATGGAATGGTAGCAGCTGTGCCTAGACAGAAGATTGCTGGTAGGAGTAAAAGATGCATGTTAATCTCATCCTGTCTGACTCACTCAGTGATGTTTCCGAGATGGGATAGGCTCCACTTTGAGTCAGTAGGATGATTCAGACATTTGTGGCTAAAGAAAGCTAAAATCTTAATTACTAGGGAGGTATTGGCTTTTTGGCCATCGCTATGTCAAGTTTGTGCTTGTAACATCCCAGTCATGACCTCACTGGATATTAGTCTTTGCAGAATGATGTGTTCTCCTGCTCTGCTGCTTCCCTTCTTGTACTGTGGTGACAGGTGTTTGCCAGCGACTCTGCTTGGGTAGTTCTAACGTGAACACAGAGTGGCAGATGACTCCCTCAGATTAAATCAGCTGGGGAAGGCTTTCAATCTCCCTGGAAAGCAGCTCTGCAGAGAAGAACCTGGGAGTCCTGGTGGACAACAAATTGACTGTGAGCCAGCAATGTGTCCTTGCGGCAGAGAAGGCCAGTGGTATCCTGAATACGTTAGGAAAAGCATTGCCAGCAGGTCGAGGGATGTCATCCTCTCCCTCCAAGCAGCCCTGGAGTGCTGTGTCCTGCTCTGGGCTCCCAGATAAGAGAGAGATGTGGAGCTACTTGGAGCAAGTCCAATAAAAAGTCAAATAAATGAGGATTAAATTATGAGAGCTATTATTTTTATTATGAGATTTTATTTCCTTAAATTTTAGTGCTTAGAATTTTAATCTTTATTTGTTGCCACAAAGAGCTGTCTCTAAATGTCCTGAGGGGGCCCCAGCCTAACACAGGGTCTTTCATTTCAGGCTATATCTGTTTCTGAGACCCCGTATCAATATAATAAAACTAAAAACAGTGTCACTTTTTAAAATTTCAGAACAAGCTCATTTCTGTCTTGAATAAAGCTTGTATTCTACTCTCCTCAGTTCTAAAAAGCTTGCCCTTCCCACCTGAGGTGTTTTGAAACTGCGGGTAGCCTGTGGCGCATTACTGCAGTGGACCTCTCAGATAGAGGCCTGATTTGTTACATTGCCTGATAGAGGCAATGGCAATTTGCAACCATGCATGTAGCTTGTCAGGGAGACTGCAGATTGCAGATGACTTATACTAGTGATTCTCCTGTTGGCATGTCATGCAATGACTGATAGGTGATATTAAAGATTTGATTCCTGATGTCCGGAAGGGGTGATGCTGGGATATTTCTGTAACTGTGGGCTTGTGGCAAAAATAAAGAGTTATCCCCATGCTGTAGTTGAGGCTAAAGAGCAATAGAAAGAGTTAACTCACCTTTAATCTGGGCAGAACAAGCACATCTGTGTCTCTCATACACTAAGCTAGTGAGCTTACTTGTTTGCCTTTGCCATGGCACTGCCAACTAAGTTCAAGCCAGAGGAGACAGACATTAATACACAGTGTCGGGGATTTAAGCATGATTTGTCTTCATCTCTAACCTTGAAACGGGCAGTTTCAACGTAGTTTGTTGGTGGTTGTATATGAAGAATGGTTTGCAGGTAAAAGCACTGTGACTAAGACACTGATGGAAGAATCCTAAGTGCAGATGTAGTGACCAAAAGGACATAGCAACACTTCTCTAATTGTGGCAGGCAATTTCAGGTTCATAATGTTTAAGCAAAGGGTGGTTTGGGATGGGTTATTTCCTTCCTCTCCTTTCCTGACGGTGCCAACATCTGTCTATAGGCAAAACTTCTTCTGGCAGCATGGGTCCCAGAGCCTTTCTTTGAACTTGCTCCAAACGTAAGTGGCAGCAGGGTAGGCATGAGGTTCCCAGACAGTCCTGCATTGTTTGAAGTTGCTAGTGGTTTGTCCTCTCATAGCACAAATATTGAAAGGGAATAGCTGAGCAGATGAAATCCAATGCAGCGAACTGCTAGGAATGCAGACAAAAGCTTATCACAGCTTTCTGAGCTCTCGCTCTGTAGAGACTTGCTCAAGACCAAGATATATAACCTTGATTCTGTCTAATCTAGTCTAACCCTGAGTACAAAAAAATATTAATCTTCCTGGACAGTGGTTTTGCTAAGGCTTTTCTCACCTCAAGAGCTGCAGTCTCATACAAACTACTATCTACAGCTATTTTCCTGTGACAGATAATATTGCTTATTTTTATGAATATAGAACATGTAAACCCAAGGTGCTTTCATATCACAGGGCTAGCAAGACCTATTTCATTTTTAACACAATTTCAGGAGGATTTTTTTCAGTATTTCTTGTTTTTATTATTTTCACTGCTCTCTTTTCCTCTGTCTATTCCACCCACTATTTCTCAAGTCAAAAAGGAAAAAAAGAACAAAATAAAAAAAACCCCTAAAACTATCACCTGAAGCCCTCAGTGTAATTTTTGAATCAGAATTAGGTCCTCAGCTCCCCTCATCCCAAACATTGGCTGTTCTCTTCCAAGGTATGCAGGAGATTTACTGAGACATGAAATGACTAGCCAGCACAGCAAATCTCTGTTGCGCTGGGAACACAAAGTTAACTTTTTTTTTTACCCATAGTTCTGTAAGGAAACAAGAGAGCGCTCCCTCTGAGACTGGTTGTCGCATGTGACACTCCTTATCCTTCTTCCTTTTCCCCTAAATCCTTTGCCAGGGTGGACTGTTTGCTTGTATCTCCACAGGAAGCAGTCTCACGCTTCCCTGAGGATGAGCAGCTGGCACGAATTCAAAATGTCATCCAGGAGCTCCCGCCATCACATTACAGGTGAGAACATGTCCACTGAGGCTCTGAGGAAGAGTTGTGTCACTGTCACGAGCAGGGAGTATTGCCTGAAACAGCACCAAAGTTAATCTCCAGAAGTTATTTTCCAAAGGTTCACTCAACATTTCCATAATTTATCTGGCTTTTAAATATAATCGATCAAGCCATGGTTAGAAATTAAATGACCTCTATCTGCTTCTGTCTGTCCTCCTCTTCTCCATCTGAGTCCTGTGCAATGGCGTTGGCCAGAGTTCTGCACGTGGTAAGGAGAAGATGATCTGCTGCAGGTGCCTGAGCCTGTGCTAAGCCCTTAGTCTCCACAGCCAGCACACAGTGACATCCCCTGTTACCATCTTTCTAGTGCTCATCACGCTAAGGATTGTTGGAATCATGTCCCACCCTCAGCCACCCCAGAGCACATTTTTTAGGTATCCGCTGCCAAACTACATGAATTGTGGTACTGGCAGATCATCTGCCCTATGGTGCCCCTTGTGCAAGGGGGGCAAATAGTGCCCCCCTTGAGGAGGGAATGACTCTGAAGTCATGGCTGAATCTGAGAGTGCTGTCCCAGGGGGTGGACAATGTCACCTGAGCGGAAGGAAGAATCTGTCAGCAGGTCTCATGGTTCAGCTGTTAGCAGATCAGGGAAGACATCATCACATACATGAAGGGGAACTTGACACTTTCTTCTCGCTTCTCACCAAACTCCTGCAGAACACTGGAATACCTGATCAAGCATCTGACTCACCTGGCCTCCTTCAGCAACATGACCAACATGCACACCAGGAACCTGGCATTAGTGTGGGCACCCAATCTCCTCAGGTACGGTGGGGAGTCTTCTGGTCTAGAGCACCATGCTGATGTTTAGTGGGAATGTAAGAACTTCAGTGTGAAGGCCAATACACTCAGGGAAATATAAAGCTAAAAACAAACAGAACAACTAGAAGGAATGCTAGGGCAAAGCAAATAGCTTCAAAAAAAGAGAAAATATTCTTCCAGGTTTACTAATCTGAGGTCTTACTGCCAACATCCAAGGAAGCTTGCGGTTTTTTTTTTTAAAGCTGTTATTTGTAGGCTGACCACATTGATTTAAAAATGAGAAGTTAGCTCATCCGTGTGGAACGGAAATGGCATTTCTGACAGTGCTTCTAAAACGGAGCAATGAAAGAGAATGTAGCTCAGACGGGAAGACAACACAGCAAAAAGTCTGTGTCCAGATCCGCTCAAGTATAAGTGAAGAGAGCTTGATGGACCTAAGATGGCAGTTAGTGCCAGATCACAAGATCACCAGGTACTTTTTTTTTTCATTTTTTCTTTGCCTGGCACAGGACAGAAACCCAGATAAGAGGCAGCTAGAGGTTTTGCTCATATGATGTAGAGCTGAGCAGAACAAGAAAAAAAAATCCAAAAAAAATTCTGCTGAGATATTTTAGACCTTAGTGTAAAACCTTTCCTAGTTCCTTCTCAGCCTCTCCACTGTTGATCTATTGAGAGGTGTGAGCTATGCAGGAATAGTCCAAGACTGCTGCAGGACAATAGTGGGACACAAGCAGAACTGGTGTGGGGAGTCCAGGTAGGGGAGAGTCTTTGGGGCTGCAGGCCAGGAAGGAGGGATATTGGAGGGTGGGTCTAGGTCAAAAGGAAGACTCTAAGGACTTATCTCACTCTTTTAGATTACAAAAATGACAGGTTCCAAAACTGAATGACATGCTTACTCTATTGACTATCACAAAGTGGGCATTTGCTACTCAGACAGTTTCATTCCAGCATCTGTCTGTCTTGTCAAATAACTAAAGTCTCTTCCTTTTGCAATCTATTGTCAGTGCAAGTCCCAGGGAGGATAAGAAAGGAGCAAGCAGTGCAACTGCAGTCTCCTTACATGGTTATCCACTTGGCAATGCCCCAAGCTATTATCTAACACACCAGTCATTAACTTTACAAAGGATCCATTGCCCAGAGATAATTTCTTCAGCAACACTTCGGCATGTCAAGATAAAGAATGTTTTTTTACTGAGAGCAAGAATGAGAATGTGAGAGTGCAGGGGGCAGTGAGGAGACTAGTGAGACACAAGGTAAACCATTGAAAAACTGGCGTGGAAAAGACATGCAGCAGGTTTTAAGGGATTTCTCTCAACCCCTTTTAGAGAGATGATGAATATGGAAGCAATGTGTGAAGGTTCTTATATTCTTTTAGGCCCAACTCCGAAAGAGCTAAAGAGCAACAAAGAGAAGGGAAAAGAGAGGAGTTTGAGAGACACAGTTTTATCTACTGATGAATGTAAAGGGAAGTAGGGAAAATAACACTGATGAGGAAGGAATGAAAAGATGTGAGAGAAAAAATAAAGCAAAGAATTTTAAAAGGAAAAAAGAATGAAAAGACAAAATAAGAATGAGGGCTTGGGAGGGAAGGAAGGCAGGAGCTGAAGCAGAAGTGAGGAAAACCTCCCTCTTCTGTCAAGCTAATGATACTAGGGGGAAGAAGGCTGTTCCTTCTTTCCTAGGGGAACCATGTGTGGCAATGCTGGATATTAATGTACCTCTTTCCTCTCCTGGTGCAGGTCAAAGGAAATTGAGGCTGTTGGCTGCAATGGGGATGCAGCTTTCCTGGAGGTGCGAGTCCAGCAGCTGGTGATTGAGTTCATCTTGAATCATGTGGATCAGATCTTTAACAACAACAGAAAAGCCAGCTCCACAGAGAACAATGGTAACAGCCTCCCTGAATCACTCCACACATCACTTGCCAAATACTTAGGCAAGGCACCCTTCCTTTAATATTTCTAGCATATCAGCAATCTCTCCATGTTCAAAGACTCTCTCAAACACATCTCAAGCCCTATTCAGCATTACCTTAGCCCCCTTTATTACCATAATCACTTCTTTTTTTAACAATAGCTTTCTTTATTGTGTTCTGAGATTGCCTATGTCTTGTTCTTTGCATGATCTTATCCGGTTTAGCCTTTTCTACAAAGGAAGACCACCTGACTGCCTTCTCAGTCCTGGCCTCAGTTTTCTTTCCATGCCCATCAGCCACAGACGCAATCATTTGCTCAAGCTCTTCTTCTTCATATTAATGATACCTGCCCTATGGTCATCATTCTTACACAAATTGCTAAGATGAGGCCATATACCCAGGGTGAAATTTAAGCATGTGTTCTAAAAACATGCTTTTTACTTGGGATGTTTTATAAAATAAGATACTTTTTTTTCTCCCCTGGAACTCAGCAGACTTTGGAGGTGGTATTTTTATTATTCGCAGTGCAATTGTTGTCAAAATGCCTTTAAGGATGGGGACTAGAGGTGCGAGGTACAAAGTGACCTCACATAATGTCAGGAATATGTTTCTTCCTCTTTACACATGGGGAGAACTTGCTGGACATGCAGAAGTGAAGGAGTAAGCATCTTTCTACTTTCTCTTTGCTTGTAGCATTACCTGCTAATATGTTGCTCGAATCCACAGCTTGGTGAGATGCCCTGCCCGACTGTAATACCCTTGCTCTGCCAGTGCCAGTTCTATTCCTACGTAAAAGACATGGAGTGAGGAACTGCACTCATAATGTTGCAATCATTATAGTAAAATACTGATTAATAAGTTCCAAGACTTCTTGTTGTTTTGGAAGCCGCTGGCCCAACACTAGCCCAGTTGGATAATTACTGAATACTATCGGTCTTTAACAGCTACATGGAGTTTACGAGAGGAACGTGCTGATGGTTCCAGTCCAATTCTTTGTGGGAATTGCTCCATTACCCAGCCCTCCTGCACACGTAGTAGCTTGCCCTCTGACTTTCATCTTCAGCAACAGGGCTAAATACCGAAGGATTACAAAGACTGCACTTTCTTCGTGCACCTGAAGGTCTATTCAGGACAGGGCTTAGGCCTGTTATTGAGGTCACATACAGGGAGCTGACTTTGCTGCCGGCCATGTAGACAGAGACCTTCAGTCTCTAGGGCTGTCAATAAGGCTCCTTTACATGGCCCTTAAATGCATTAGGAAAGTAAAAGTAATGTTATTTTTTAGGACAGACCCCCTTGCTAGGACAAACCACGGAGAAAGATGTGGAACTGAAAGAAAGAACTAGGCATGTGTTTTGGGCTGGGGACGGAACTGCTCCAAAATCTGGGGAGGGAGAGAAGAATCCTGTTGTTTTGCAGAGGTGTCTCTTGACACTGAGGCTTCTACAGCAGAAGCGGCAAATCTGTGCAGTGCAGTCTTTG